CCCCAAAACCCCAAAACCCCAAAACCCCGCTTGTTCAAAATATCATAAAATCACAGGAAAATAAAAAATTATTATTTGAATACTCGTATACACTGTTGTTAATTATTAATCATCCTATTTTGATCAGAGATTGCAAAGTCTTAAATGGATGAATTCCATCTAAGAATAATAATCATCATTAGAAATACTCTTTATCTTAACTATCTTCGCTTTGGTAATTCTTTCTATCTCTTAAAACTCGACTGTATAATATATATTTAAAATGTGCAATAAAGATATCATTAAGACTTACCTATTACTTTAAAGCTTGTTTGTTTATTTAACCAGTTTATTTGTAAGGAAACCTTCTCTCTTCTTTTTCCTTTTGATTACTATTAAATTAATATTGTCCAATTAACTTACTCATAAGAAGTTTGACTAGTTCATCATGATTATACAGAATGCTAGTTAAGGCTAATTAGACATCATAGTTTTTTAAAAGCAAATAAAGTAATGCTGACTCTTCTTGATAGTGGTAAATGTCATGAGGCCAGATTAGTTCAATATTTTTCAGATACTCCTCTATAAAAATTCATCAATGCTTCTGTTTTTTACGTACTTAGTGCTTCTTCAGAAATTTTGGAGGGATCCCAACAAACGTGACATTAGTCAATCATCCTCTACTCCTTATATTAGAGGTATTCAAAATCCTAAATATCTGTTATTAATGGAATGTCATGGACTTGGTAATTCTGACCTATCTTTGGCTTCTTTTAATTTGAATCTCTGAATTACTCAAAGTACTGTTCTTGCTCATTTATTTCAAACATGTCTGCATCTTAAAGTTGTCGCTGCTAATCTTCTAGTTTCTACTAAATAAGTCTTTATTCCTCAGGATCTTATAGACTATCTTTGAGTTTGCTAACTTATTTCTGCTTGTTGAAAGCAGCAGCTGATTGACTTTTATTGTTTTAGTTTTTAGGTGTGCTATCTTAAGTATACTGTGAATACTAGAGGTCGTTGATTCCTTCATAGTAAAACTAGGTCTAGAGAATGTTGCAGAATTGCTTTTTGTTGGCCGTCAACAAAAGCTACTCAAATTCATTCTGATTATTGTAGTATGCATTAAATTAGTTGAAGTTAACGCTAGATTAATAATTGTTATTTAATGGCTGGTGTTCTTAATAGTTAGACTTAAGTGGGATTTAAATACTGTTAGAGTTGGATGTAGTTGTCATTCTCGATTATGATGTATTGCCTGCAGCTATGCCTTGAAACAATTGATTTTGCTGATTATGTTGATTCATATAACTCTGCATTAAATATTTAAGTTTTAATTTCAGAATCCTTATATTTCAAATTATATAATAAATCTCAATTATAAATCTCAAGGGGTTTTGGGGTTTTGGGG